TTGTATATATTTTATAAAATCGTGTTTGTATACATTTTATAAAATGTATACAAACACGTATTATATAAAAATTATGCAAACACGTTTTTATAAAAAAAAAATATAAACAAATACGATTTTATAAAAAAATATAGATAAAATAGATGCTTGTATACATTTTTTTTGTAAAATACGTTTTTGTATACATTTTTTTTTATAAAAACGGATTTGTATATATTTATATACTTAATAAATACCTATTTTTATAACTAGATATTTCATATACAAAAAACTTTTTAAAAAAAGTTTTTATATAGAAAATATAAGATTTTTATGTGAAAATACTTTTTTTTGTATAAATATGATTTTATAAAGCAAAAACATATTAGAAACAATTCTTTGAGAAAAAAAGTTGTAGAAAAAACTAAAGTTAGGATGAATTCATAATAAAATTCTAAATTTTGGGCAAAAAGGGTAAGGTTTGGACCAAATTTGTAGCAAAATTTAAAATTTGGGCCAAAAGTGTAAATTTTGGACCAAATTTGTAATAAATTTTAAAATTTGGGCCAAAAATGTAATTTTTGAAAGTTGGATGACCTGTTGACCGGGTCAAAGGGTTAAATTGAATACGATTACCGGTATTTGAGACTTAATTGAATAAAAAAAATATGTAGGGACTAAATCGATTATGAAGCCAATATGTAGGGACTTTATTGCAGTTTTCACTATCATTTATATTTTTTATATTTTATATTTTTTTTAACATAAATTAAAACAAATAACATAATTTTTTAGATTTTATATTTTTTTAACATAAATTAAAGCAAAAAAACATAATTTTTAAACATAAATAAACATTTTATTAATAAAAAAATTACATTAAAATTTTAAACTAAAAATTTTAAACCTACATTACAAATTAAATATACATAAAAAATAAAACTTAGATATTTAAACATACATTAAATAAAAAATAGGATAAGTTACACCATTCGTCCATCGTGCAGGTGTCAAAAGTTACGTTCAGTCCCTATTTTTAAAAATTAACTCGGATCGTCCCTCTTTTGTTTTAAACTTGCATGTTTCATCCCCCGTTAGTTTAAATATGTGCAATTCATCTTTTGCCTAAAATATAATGACTATATTCCCCTTACTGTTTTATTTTGTATTTATAAGAAAAAAAAAATTTGACCCTTTATTTTTACGTTTATTAATAATTTTTAAACAATTAAACCTATCACCCACCCGCATTTACCTAGAAATACCAATAATTCTCCATTCACACTCTTCACTGTCTCTCACCTCCCCTTAAAATCAAAATTCGGCCACCAGAGATACAACCACAACCGGAACCTGCTTGACCGTCGTCATTGAAAACCACCTCACTTCCCTTCCTAGATTTATGTCAGAAATGTCGGCTCAACCACCGACAAACTCAACTACCCAATTTCTTGAAATCGACCATGGTTATTTCTGAATCTACAACTATCTCACCGGAAAAAAAAAAGGGTGAAGGTGGTGAAGTGCAAGTCTGCAACCCTATTTGCAGCTCCGACATCGACTGAAGGAGACCACGCGACCACCGTCGGCTATCCCTGATCGATCCACCAAACCATCTGGCGAACACGAAAAACAGCGGTTTCTAGAACCCGACTTGCGACGGCCAAACCCTACATCTCGCTGTTGCATTGGTTGTTTCCGACCAAACTCCCATCTCCTTTTCCTTCGTTTTCTCCCCACAATTGCACGTCATATATGATTGTTCAGAAGAAATCGAACCAATATCCGACTGATTAGGCTTCAAATCATAAGAAATCGAAGTTGCATCAGAAGTGGTTTTTTTCATACGAGGGTTTCTTCTTCATATTCATACGAAGATATAATCTAGATTTGTAGTTTTTTTTGTATATGTATGTATGTGTGTTAGTTTATGTAGGTATTGATTTATGAATTTGATGTCGTGAATGTATGTTTGGATTTGATATTTTAAATGGATTTGATGTCTTGAATAGATTTTGGGGTTAGCATTTTCTTTGGATTAGAACATAGATTGTGTTTTCTCTGGTGACAGAGGTAGCGGTGGTGGTCGCCGGAGGTTAGTGGTGGTGGTGACCGAAGGCTAGTGGTGATGGTGGTCGGAGGTAATTTTCCAATGGCTGAATACAAATGACCCACGTATATAATAAATAATATTTTTAATGGATTAATAATTAATAATTAATAAATAAATAAGGGCAAAACGGTCTTTTTATTTCAAGAGGGATGAAATGTGAAAGTTTTAAACAAACAAAGGACAGTCCGAGTTAATTTTTGAAAATAGAGACTAAATATGCGTTTTGGCACATGCACGAGGGACGAACGGTGTAATTTACCCTAAAAAATAAAAAGAAATCAAAACACAAAAATAATCGCTATATTTTCGACGACCTTGCATTGAATTTTTTAAATTATTGCTAAATTTCCCGACACAATACCCAGTTGGGGTTGTGTGTTTAAAATATTAGACTGTTAAGTTCTATTTTTTGGTTAAGAGCTTTCACTGTTTTTCATACTTTTTTCGAGAAAAAGTAGATGTTTGTCTATTTTTTTTCGAAAACACTTCTTTGGTACGCGTTTTTCGGCTGGTGATGTCGTCTGTTTTGCTTTGTCCCTTCCTGGTGGTTGACGAATGTGGACTTCCGGTGGATCCTCCCCCCTCGGTGTCGTGGAAGTCGTCATTGAGGTTGAGGACATGACCTACATCCGACTCGAATGTTTTCAGCCTTCTATTAGAGTCGGTGGTCGATTTTGAATGTGCATCCGCATTTAGGAGCCATTTTGGAACGTCACGACAAATTAGTCATTCTTTTTGGTGGCCGAACAGTTTACCGCCTTTGGTAAGCTTGAATTGGTAGATGCGGTTGATATATTTCTTGTGAATATTAGAATGAATTTTGTACTTTTTATTTTGCATAAAACAAATCGGTTCCTAAAATTATTATTGGGTCTCATTAAATTCACGGGACAACCAACACCCATACTTTTACACTTGACGTCTCGACTGAATATACATTTATAACTCTACTGAAGTTTCGTTCCTTGCTAAACCCAAAATCTTAGACAATCAACTGAAGTTTCTCCTTGTTGACATTAAAGATCAAGAAATCTCTTTGTGACCCCTCCCCCTCCCTCCAAATCCATTATTGAATTAATAATGGTGCTTTTTTGTAGTTTTTCTGTTTAAATTTTCACTCAAGGTTCTTATGTTTTGTGTGTATTCTAGTTTGTATTATTATGTTAAATGTCAGATCATATACATGTGGAGTCTGGGCCTGTAATCCTAAAAACCGACAAACCATTAACTCGACTTTCTTCTTGTTACATTATAAGGTTAATTGTTGGTTAACTTTCATATACAAATCCAAATTCATTTATACAAAATGATGCGGGCCCTAGCATGGAGGTTCGGTGTCTTGTGTTTCTAGAGGCCCATGAGCGAGTGGCTAAAGGAGCTTCATGAAAATGACCATAATTTTGACTATGGGGTTTCGTTTTGGGCCTGCGACCAACCAAATCAAAGATTGAAATGAGGATCATGTCATAATAAGTAACCAATAGCGACTTACCCATTTTAAATGAAGTCATAAACGTTTTTTCTGTTTTGTTTTTAGGTTTGTATTTGGCGCATGGCATTTTAGTGGTCTCTTTTAAATTTTGCTTCTTATTTAAATGTTCCTAATGTAATTTGGACGGTCATTCACTAGTTTAAAGAACTATCATTTTCTCCTCAAATTTTGTGTGTTTGAAACCAGATTTTGAAGCCCAATCTCATGGTATTCATAGAATCAACGTGGTTTATCACAAACTTCATGGGTATAATTTTGACGTCGATTACTTTTTTTCGTCGGGCTGTCTGATGTCTCAGCGCCTCGCTAAAGTCCTCAAAAACTCAGAAAGGTCGTGCCTCTGGATGTGGGAAAGTTTCCAGAGAGAATGGTTGAATTTGTGTGAGAACGTGAACGAATTTCGGTCCTATTTATAATTGTCGAAGGGGGGGCGCCGTGGTTTAAAAGCGTGTTGCGCCGCAGCATGCTGCCTCGTCCCATATGGTGTCACGTGTCATGATTCCCTAGGCAACATCGACGAGTCGGTGGAAGAGGGGTGTCTGTCTTATGTCACGTGGCGCAAGCCGGTGCCGCTATCGTCATCTCTATCAGGTAAAATTTAAAATCTTTGAAAAATCATATCTTTCGCATACGAGCTCCATTTTTGACGTCCTTTAGCTAGTTCGCATTCTATTTTTAATTTATAGTCTATGAAGGTTACATTGTAATTGACTTTGCGAAATTCATAACTTCTTTGTACGAGCTCCGTCTTGATGTTTTTTATATCGACGGATTCGTATTTACGAGGAGATCAACTCTCGTTTACATTGTTTTGGCTAACAAGTAACCAATTTTTATTTTGTATTTTGTGACACGTATTGTTGTTGTGTCGAATGCAAAACTTTGAAAAATTATAACTTCTTCATAAAAAGTCAGATTTTGGCGCTCTTTATACTTATTACTTTTTAATTTTGATTAGTATGACTTTCGTTTATATTATTTAACCTAAATAATCTCCTATTTATAAGTGATTATTTACACGGAGAACATGAATATGTCCCACGGGCTCTTTGTCATGAACTAATTGGATGTCGATTTAGATGTGTTTAGTATGTTGATGTTGGACCAGATCGGTCGACATGTAGACTTTATTAATGTTATCAAGAAACACAAGAGTAGCTTTCATGAACTGATAGTGAAGCTCGTAGTGAAGAATACACAACCATGTTGTTTTCTGCAACATCACTTGCAATGCCTTGATACTTGATCGAGAAAGAGTACATTGTTTTTTAGAAGACTAAGACATAAGGTTGTTCCCAAGACATACACAATAACTAAAGAGGTAGATCATCTAGTTGGTGAACACTTCCCCCTCCACAATTTGCATATGAGTAGGCAACAAAACCTTGATTTGGGGATGCATGAAGTTTAAGACATAATCAAGGGTACCATGTATGTAGAGAAGAATGTACTTCAAAGCACTGAAATGAGCCTCATGTGGGTCGTGCATGTATAAACACACCTTTTGGATTGCAAAGGCGATGTTTGGGAAAGTAAAAAAAGTGAGGTACTTTTGGGCTCCTGCTAATCTATACTAGAGGGTTTCATTGGAGACCAGAGGAACCAAAGCATCGAGCTTTGTTTGATTGTTTGTCGGTGTGAGAAATGGTTTGCATGGATTCATACCAGCTTGAGCGAGGATATCATTGCATATTTATGTTGACAGAAAAACATGTTATATGTGGTACGCTTGATGGAGATGCCAGAAAAATAATTAAGTTCTCATAGATCAAACATGGAGAACTCGGTGTTGGGGTGAAATGACATGGTGAACTGTGGCGAGTTTAGAACGTTAAACCACATGATCCACTATTTAAATGAAACCGATAAAAAAAAGTAGGCTTTGAAAATTTTGATTTATACATATTTTTTTTGCCAATAGAATTAAGGTGGTTCACTTAAAATGTTTAAGATAGTTTACAATTTATATTTATATATAATCTTTTATAAAAATACAAAAAATAGGTGGGTCAAGTTGCCCACCTTGGATGTACATACCCTCGCCGCTGATGGTGAAGAAGAGATATACAAACTACAATTTAGAACAATATCGTCCTCATAGAATAGTCGATATCATGTTGGACCCGTCCTTGTATATAAACAAAGAAGAGTTAATGATAATATTAGAGAACTCGATGTGTGTGGAAAACCTAGCAAATTGATGGTACCATGTTCTTGGGATCTGCTTGAGTTCATATGAAGTATACTAAAGATCGCAAACATGATATGGGTATTGCAGGTCTCGAAAACCATAAGGTTGATGCATGTACACCGTCTCGTGAAGGAATGAATTTATCACGTCCAATTGATGAATTATATTAAGTAATTTCCGAATTTACCCTTATGCACAAGTCGGTGTATAAGGGGCAATTAGGAATCCTAGTTCGAGTAATTATGTAACTGGAAAATTTCGAAATTTCTTTTGTTTGAAACGGTAAAAGTCCACTTTGATGTATACATCGGTAAAACTTATAATTCAGATGGAGTTACCCTAACCCATAATTTTTCTTAAACCTACCGTAAAAACCGAAATCACTGTTTATGTTGTTTTTTATTAAGACTTAGAACTTCATAACAACATAGAGAGTCGTCAACTAATTTAGTGAAAATGTTAAGATACTTGTACCTTTTGAAGTGGGCAAAGTGCTATTATTTGCATACAATAGGCACCATGAAGTTTGAACCCCTTTTCTGGTTGTTGTTCAACATCGAACTTTTACGGCTGTAGGAATGATTCGGCAAAAAGGAGTGGTAAGGTTGTATCGCACGACAAGCACCACATTGTGTCCATGACAAATGCCAACTTTCACCGGGTTCAGCACCCCAATGTTGTTTCTCTCTTATCCTCACACCCAATGACTACTTATTTTTTTATTTTTATTTTTATTTTTATCTTATATAAATATCAACCCTATAACTTTCTAACACGTCAATACTTTTATTATGTCACTTCAAATATCTTCATCTTCCTGTCTCAATCTCACTTAAAATGCCTTCATCAACGAGGAAGCCAAAATTGTGCGTTAGAAAAAAAAAACAAAAATATATACAAAGAGACTATGAAGCTACCCAACAACATCACATACATGACTACTTGACAAGCATGCAACTTTTAAAGGGTACTTATATCGGTGGCGTTTATGAATATACAAACATTTATTTGAATGTATACTCAAATATTTGACTAAACATTGTTAATTTT